CACAAGCGGCGCCTTTCCAACTGGCACCTTACTGGTCTCGTGCGACGTGGTTTCAGTGTTACCTAACATCGACAACAAACTCGGCCTCACTGCAGTTAGGAAGGCTTTGAATACTAGGGAAAACAAATTTCCATCCACGACTTGTATTTTAGAAGCCGTAAAAATTTGTTTGAAAAGAAACCATTCTATTTTTAAAGAGAACTTCTTCCTTCAAATACGCGGCACAGCTATGGGTCCGAAGAATGCTTGTAGCTATGCCGATCTAACCATGGGCGAAATTGATCTCAAAGCTAAGTTTTCTGGTCCGATAAAGCCGTCCTTATGGTGGCGATATTGAGACGAAGTGTTTGTCTATCAGCGCGAGGAATTTATGCCCGATGTTAGTGCTGGTGTTCTTGCGGAAAGGTGGGTTGAACTAGAGGATGTTGTTGCGTTGACGGTTCTTGCGCCTTTGCGTGTGGGTTAGTTCATAGTGAAGTGTGTAGCTGTATCTACTGTCGTCTAGTGCTTTCTGGTAGGCGGGAGCTGCTTGGTCGAAGGAGGCTTTGTCGGATGAGAGGGATGATTAACTTCTGTTGATAGCGGCGGGGATGTGAGTGTAGATAGACTCAAAAAGCGTAACGAACTCGTCTCTTCCTGCTGACACAGAAACAAAGCCCTCCTACGCAACAGCTGACTTGACACTTTTCGCATCAAATCAATGATGTTAATTGATATAGTATATAAGCAATGGTACTGCGTTATTCTGTCATTAAAATCCCCTGATGAGTGGGAAACAGCGAAACAGGTCTGTAGGGATGAAATGTAGTTGATTGATTCTTTTCTGCCTATCACACGTTATACTCGCTCTACTATATGTATCGAGAACTGTTTTACGGATATCAAGTTTAACCCTTCTATATATATATTTATATATAAATCATTTAGCGAAAAGCAGGTGAATAGTGGTGGATATTTTATCAAGCCGCGAGGTAAATATCCACCATGCTCATAGACAGTGAATAATTTTTTTAGAAACACCATACAGAAACCAAGAAACTTTTTTTGTTTTTAATTTTCGGAAATTAAACGCTTAGTGCGCGATTTTGCTTGGAGGGGAAAATTACTTGCCAATCTCTTCCGAAGTAGCCAATGAGCGCGCGCACTGTTCACTGTTCACCGCTGTGGAATATACTAGATGGAGTTATTTTGTATGTTGGCAATGCGTGGGAAAATTAGAAAAAATTGAATTTATGCATGCAGAACTTTTATCAGGCCTTTAGGCTCGGAAGGGTGCTGGTTTGTCTTGTAGTCTTGTTGTAGATAATCCCACTATTCGTATGATGCACGATCCTCGCAGTAGATAGCGCTATTTAAGCAATAGCGAAAATCAGACCTGAAATAAATCAGGCCTGTACGGGATTCGAACCACTGACCTCTGCGATACTAGTGCAGCGCTCTACCAATTGAGCTAACAAGCCAACTGGGAGCAGGCCGTTAAGTTGATTCGTAATAAACCCGTGAAAGTGATAAATCAGATACAATGAAATATATGAAGTTCATATATTTTGAACTGCGGTATTAGATACGTATGATGCACGATCCTCGCAGTAGATAGCGCTATTTAAGCAATAGCGAAAATCAGACCTGAAAAAAATCAGGCCTGTACGGGATTCGAACCACTGACCTCTGCGAACTGATTTTCGCTATTGCTTAAATAGCGCTATCTACTGCGAGGATCGTGCATCATACGTATCTAATACCGCAGTTCAAAATATATGAACTTCATATATTTCATTGAATCTGATTTATCACTTTCACGGGTTTATTACGAATCAACTTAACGGCCTGCTCCCAGTTGGCTTGTTAGCTCAATTGGTAGAGCGCTGCACTAGTATCGCAGAGGTCAGTGGTTCGAATCCCGTACAGGCCTGATTTATTTCAGGTCTGATTTTCGCTATTGCTTAAATAGCGCTATCTACTGCGAGGATCGTGCATCATACGTATCTAATACCGCAGTTCAAAATATATGAACTTCATATATTTCATTGTATCTAATCCCACTATTCTAATTATTATCATTGCTAATTTTACCGTTATCATTATTGTTATTTTTATATTCGGTCTAGTGATGATTGCATGTTACTTCTTCTTGGTGATTAAAATGACCTACTGAGAAGCGAGGCAATGAGACTGGAAGTTTATCGGACAGAGGACTTACACATTTGTAGTCGCTCACACAGTTGTCAATTCCTTGTCTTAATCGCTAAAATTTATGATTGGGAGTGTGAACGTAGTGATAATGTTTGTTTTTGTCGAATATCCTTGCTTCGGCCAAAAAAAAATTAAGAATACATGCTTGCGAGCATGATTACTTCAGCTTCATCGGTGGGCATTTAATTTGTGAGTAAGATTAAGCTTGATATCAAAATTGTTAAATCGGCAGGCAACCATAACGTTACAAATTTGACTACATTACTGCAAAATAATCTTGCCGTCGTTGGTTCTATCCGAATTTGAACGTGCTCTGATAGGTTGTCAGCTTCGGATAATGTGAGAATGCAAGTGCAGAAGAAATAGATGTAATACTCTGAAAATAATTAACTTTGTTTTGTTAATGAACGTAAAATGTGTGCTTCCAGAAATGTCCAAACAACACGCTGTACAATATTAGGTCGGATGCCTGTGTGACATAAGAACATAATGTGAGACTGTATACATATAAGTATCTCAAATTTTCCTTTGATTGCGCATTAATAAGCTGTAATCCGGCGTCGTCGAAGGCTAAGATTTAATTAATTTTCCTCTTTAAGCAACTCTTCCATAAGTTGCTGTAAGTCTATGACGCTGAAACAACTATATGGTGCATCCACAGCCTTAGCATGTAAGGTACAACGTGTTATTCAGTCAAAAAATGAACATTTACAGTTGAAAAAAAATGAAAATCGCAAATGCAGCTTATCCACGCGCCACCTACTAAAGGAAGGGCGATTAGAAAAACTTTACACGAACTAAGAAAGGAGTGGAGAGGTCATTTTCAACCAGACACAACAACTTAAGCCTTATCAACACAGTGCGTTGATTTCGAAATTCGAAATTGATTTAGGACTTCGTATAGATATTTCGACAGAATACAGTATTATAGATATTAAAAAATCTCAAACTTACCGGAAACTTTGAAAGTAGTTTGAAAGGAGCACGGCTTGGTCTTCGGAAGTTGAGCTTCTGCAACAGCTGAATTTAATCAATCAAACCTTGCCTAAGGTTATTACTTTAGTCGTCCTCATTGGTCATCATTTGCATTAAGACACAATTTGAATTGACAGGGGATTAAATAACTATCGCTTGATAAGCAAAAAAAACAACGTTCATAAAAAAAATTGATAAAGAGCGAACAATTACACTTCACTGTTTCACGAGTATGTTATATTTAAAGGCGCAAATGATGAATCATACTTTAGCGCAATCAATACGATCAGAGTTACCGGCGTGTCTGAGTGGTACTTTGTGGCGAGCAATATTTGCACGTAATGGTGAGTCATTATGGAGCAATAGACAAAGCGAGGAAAAGGAAATATTTTGATAAGGAAAGGCGGACTAAAAGAGAAACATAGATCAATATTAAAAGCTGTTATGGCGGTCAAAATCAACCATAAGCTCACGTTTGGAAGATTACGAAGAATCTGGAAGGTCAAAGTATATTTGTCTTACTAAGTTCGACACCATTATGAGGCCTTGGCATAGTCAGTCTTCGTTAAGATCCCGGCCTTCGTTGGCGTTCTTGCGGTTAGGCGGAGGCCGTGTTTTGAAAAGGTACAGGAACGTCTTTTCAAGAGGAGAAACAAATCACTTAGGTCATTGAATGGTGAACAACCTTCAAACGAAACGTAAATCTATTATTCATCTACTCACTATTTGTACTGTTTTGCGCGATTTTCGATCACAAGAAGATATGGATTCCCCGCATATATTCATCTGCTTCACTTTTATATCGTGCAAAATATTTTTGGCAGCAGTCAACAGTCAGTTTCTAAAGCTGTAGAGAATAAAATGAACATTTTCAACCTACTGCCAGTATAGCGAGAGAATTAGAATCTGCCGTCACGATATTGAAAGTTACGTAGAAGTCGATATTCGATGTCTTGCAATAGTCTGCGCCAGTTTCGACTTAAAGAGGACGCTAACTCCCCCACATTGATTCGATTACAAGATAAACAGTTATTTTCTATAGCCGTCGGTACTCTAAAGAGGAAAATTATATATGGCGAGTCAAATCTTGTTTCATGGTGGAATTAAAATCTAGCCAACATTTGCTCTGTGACTCCTTTAAGACGAGGATTGCGAAAATAAGAGTATTTTTTGTCATTTCCAAGACTCACCCTTTATATTCTTCTCGTGCTGGCCTCCTGTAACACACACTGGGTTCCTTCAATTATTTTTAAAATGATTGAAATTAAAATCAGTGGATATATTCAAGCGGGAGTTTAACATTTCAATTTAGTTTTGGTGGGTAGCTCATAAAAATTTCGTTATATCAGGATACCGATCAAAAAAATTCCGCAATATAACCTTAAAGATCACAGACTTAAGATGATACAAAGTAACTGTCTTCCTGAACTTCATTGTTGCGTCGTTGTCAGCTAGAGCCGTTCAGTCACATGGATACTGGTTTTTAAATTGTATTTAAGAATTTTATAGAAAATGAAAATGCAACTTTTGATTTTGCGTTTAATTCCGTGGTACTTCCGGAATAGAAAGGGTTTCTTTAATTTGTGAATGAAGAATATTTTAACTGTAAAAAATGTAACTCAGATTTTAAGGAACTAAATTTCTGGGTCCAAAAAACCCTAACGTATAAACGTTACTCTTAAGTAACGAATATCCAATGAAAATCAATAATAATAATAATAATAATGATAATAATAATAAAAACACATGCAGAAAGTTCTACATAAATGCAGCCAGATACTTGCCAGGTTGGAGAAAACTTGAACAAGTAAGAGGAGGCCATTGTTCGAGAAAACAGTTTAGGAGTAAAAAAAAAAGGCGTTGACCGACACTCTTGTAAAAAATAGATATGACAGTGTATATTATTGATAGGTTGGACCCCAGAAAGATGGCCACATTTGACGAATAAATAAAAAGTAGTGAAACCGATTTGGATCCTGTGATGTCATTCCGTACCTTAATTAATCACCCATAAAGTATTCGTAAACAGAAGAAAATGGAGTTGATAACTTACCGAAGAGATGAGAGCTGATGCAAAAAGGAGCGAGTGAGTTAAATCTTTTCCGACTTTTCTCAAACGCCAAGACCAGTGAAGCATTCCTAAATAGGATAAAATTTGTAGTCATTCAATTTCTAGATATTGACATTCGGCATCACTTCAATTATTCACTAGGGAAGTCATTGAAGTTGCAAAGTTGACAGGGTTGTCTTCGCGTACTTAAAGGAAGTCTTTACATTTAGTTCTCAATCGTGCATATTAACACTTGGCTAGGATATCAATTGAGGTCGGATAGAGTGTTCACTCCTCTATAAATTTGAGAGCAGTTGTTTCATATCACTAATTAAGAAATTATAAATCACTTACACTTCGCTTCATCTTTACTCGTCAATTCATTGTAGACGATTACGCCATTTGAAATAAAAATTACAGAACTTTAAAAGGAAATCTTTCATCTATTGGCTCTTTTGGTGTTGATCAAGCGACATAATACCAAATTATCTGTGTTCAATTGATTCTTTTAAGCTTATCCACTCTAAAAATGATGCATCTGATATCACAAAAGGTGACTATAGCATAAATAGAAGAAAAGAAATCAACATCATAAAGCGGATCACTCTGAAGTAACCATGAATTACAAAATTTTAGGAGATTTGGTTGATACATGTATGTCAAAAACTAAATTTGAGTCTCGTTAATTGCCTTTTTTTGTCTTGGAATTTTATTGATATATCAGTTTTACAAAAATTCCCGGAAAAGGCAAAGAGGTTCTTCATATTCAACTATTGGTTGAATTGATTTTGGATTTCACATTCCGGCCATTTTATATTTATCAATTCCTTATATTTAATCATGGCTTATGTGCTTAAACAGGTAAGTGTTGACAAGTATACACGTTTTCACTAAAAAATGCGTACATACATATATACATACATACATACATACATACATACATACATGCACACATACATACTTTATTACCACTTCCCCAAAGAGGATTTTCAGAAGCAATACAATTAAGGTAAAAATTAAGTATACAATTAAGCTAAAAAATTATATATCAGACTTAAAATAGAGCATTGACTTAAGTAGCGGAAGTGCTAAGGTTACTTAAGAGGCGACACCTAAGGCGGCGTTTAAACAGCGGAAGTGCTAAGGTTACTTAAGAGGCGACACCTAAGGCTGCGTTTAAATAGCGGAAGTGTTAAGGTTACTTAAGAGGCGACACCCAAGGCGGCGTTCAAACACATTAACCGATTCACAAAGTTTAAGATCGTTAGATAAGGAATTCCATAAAGCAACTGCTCTATAGAAAAAAGTCCTTTGGCCACTTGCTGTTCTAAAGCGAGGTATGTTAAGCATTTAAGAACGTCGTGTTCTACGAATCTCTGGTGATTCAGAAGTTCTATTACCAAAATACGTTTCAATAAGTTAATTTTTCTTCTACAGTATCATAAGCAAATTTATTTTTTTCTCAGTTCGTGAGCGGGCGGTAGATAGATGGTTTATTTGTAAAAAGCTTGCAGCCACTCTCGCGAACGCGAGTTTTCTTTATTCTCAAACACAACCATTTACACGGAGGAAAAAATGCTACTTCTTCTCGCACATGGTCTTAAGGAGGGGTCGCTAAGCCCACATTCTCGTGGAGTGGTCGCTAGGCCCTCCGCGACACTCCCCAGCCAATAAGTTTTAACTGTCAATGTTCGGAAATAAAGGAAATATTTTCAACAGAACGAAATGGAGTTATCATGGCTAACAAAAGTAGTATAGAAAGGGGGCTTACGAGCGCAGTTATGTAACCATCTAAAGGAAATTAATATTATATAAAAAATTGATAACGGCTCAATTTGAAATAATTCAAAAGAAGATTCTCAAGAATCGGTAGCGGTTCAGTTTGGATTAAAAAAAGATTCTAAAGGATCGGTAGCGGCTCAGTTCGAAATTAATAGTATATAAAAAAATTGATCATTAAAAAGCTTAATATCCTAATATTTATAGTATTATTATTCCATAATGGGAAATTATAATTAAATAAAAATCTATATACTATTATATATATGCATAATTATGAAAATCTTAGTAAAGATGAATTAATATCAATTATTAAGGAATTAAAATCTAAAATAGAAGGATTAAAACAAACACCAACACCAGCTCCTAGAACTAAGAAAGCACCAGTGCCGACTCCTAGAAATATACTTGATCAAAATATTCCAGCATCTTTAGCAGAGCCACTGATTCTTATTAAAGTTGAATTTCTCAAAAAGTTAGAGTAAAAAAGACCCAAAATTAAATTAAAGCAATCTAAAATCGAAAGATCAAAAAATTCCAAAATTAAATTAAAACAATCAAAACCAACTCCTGGGACTACGAAGAAACCAATACTAGCTCCTAGAACTAAGAGAACACCAAAACGAGCTCCAAGGAGTAAGAACATACTTGATAGAAATATTCTTGTACCTTTACCAGAACCGTTAGCACCAACCAAAGCCAAATTTCCCAAACAGTTAGAGCCAAAAAGGCCCAAAATTAAATTAAAGCAATCTGCATTGGAAAGAGTTATAAATCGAGAGTTTCAAGAGCTTGAAAAGAGAAAGTCTAAAAAAGAAAAGCCTAAAAATTAATCCGATTAGATGAAAAGATTAAGAAATTATTTGCAGAAAAAGATCAAGCGTCTAAAGTAAATAAACGTGTTAAAGCATTCAGAGGATATACTGAAAGTTATGAAGTAGAAATAAAAAATAATAAAGATCCCCTATCTCAGTTACCTCAGGCTATCAATAGTATTACAGATTTATTTAAAAGTGGGTTACTAAAATCGAGGCCACTTAAGTTCAATGAAGTATTAAAAATGACATTTATCGAAATGGTTGCAGAAGGAGAGGTGACGAAAGTTGCTTATTTCAGATCTCCACCATTTACAATAATGAATCAAGAGGAAAATATATCAATCATTGCAAAGATCTATAGAAATATTACTCAATAAAGTTTCTGTATGGATATCTGAGGGTTCTGCGTGGACTGTTAAGAGTGTTGATGAACATCATTTAAGTTTTGTGAATTACAAGCCATTATCAGCAAGCAGTTATATAGAACGGCCTAAAGAATTAAAAAATTCTAAAAAAGGGCTGATAAATCTTCAAAATAAAAACGATTATCATATAACGGGAAAATTACTGAATTGTGATTGGTCAAGACAGAGGTCTTTTCTTCTTAATGTTTGTAATTGACCCAGGCAAAATTACTTGAAAATGATTGGCTGAAAATCGCTTAGCAACGGCTGCCAAGGTAAAGAAATTTCTGTTTGTTTTGTAACAATGGCGTCCCGTTTTGCGCGAGATCAGTAAGAAAACATTTTGCCCCTTATATCATGAACAAGTAATCACATGGTTCCTCGTGATATTAATCCTTAGTATCACACGCGTGATATTAATCCTTAATTTTACTCGGCCCCATGCGATTACCTGTACCAATGAATGCTTCAGATGGTGTCATATCAGATATCTATATCCACAAGATAAAGATCCTCAAAGAATCAAAGTGACCGATCGTCAACATATCACAGAACTTGATTATAAAGGTATCAATTTTCCTGTGACATTAAATGATTATAACAAGATAGAAAGACAAAACGAAATTCGTAGAAACGTGCTTTTGTATGAATGCGAAAGTGTCAGCCCTTATTATATTTCAACTAGACAATTTACTAGGGAGATGAATCTTTTATTATTGAGCAATGATAAAGGTAATAATCACTATGTTCGAATAAAAGATTTCAATAGATTTATTGATAATCAAAATAAACATAATGAGAAGAAACATTTTTGTATGTACGGCCTGCAATGTTTTAAATATGAAAAAACCCTAAATGAACATAAAGAAGAATGCTTATCGATAAATGGAAAGCAAAGCATTGGAATGCCTAATGAGGGTTCATATATTAAATTTACTAAATATCAAAAAATGCCTCCAGCACCTTTTGTAATCTATGCTGATTATGAATCAATTACTGAAAAGATAGATACATGCAAACCTTCTGAAAAAGATTCATACACTCGTTCGTATCAGAGTCATAAAGCGTGCAGCTTCGCTTATAAAGTAGTCTGTCGTTATGATAAAAAAATATACCAAACCAGTTAGATTATACAGAGACTCAGATGCAGCTCAAAAGTTTATATTAGAAATGTTAGATGAATATGAAAAGTGTAAAGAAGTTATTGACAAGCATTTCAACAAGCTTTTAGAAATGACTGAAGAGGATGAAATTAGATTTCAGAAGTCTGTAAAATGCCATATTTGCGGAAAGAATTTTAAGAGACTGGACTGACTGCTTTCATGGCAATGTCACCAGAGAAAATATCACAGTAACAATCATTTGCTAGCAGCAGTTCTATACGTATGATGCACGATCCTCGCAGTAGATAGCGCTATTTAAGCAATAGCGAAAATCAGACCTGAAAAAAATCAGGCCTGTACGGGATTCGAACCACTGACCTCTGCGATACTAGTGCAGCGCTCTACCAATTGAGCTAACAAGCCAACTGGGAGCAGGCCGTTAAGTTGATTCGTAATAAACCCGTGAAAGTGATAAATCAGATACAATGAAATATATGAAGTTCATATATTTTGAACTGCGGTATTAGATACGTATGATGCACGATCCTCGCAGTAGATAGCGCTATTTAAGCAATAGCGAAAATCAGACCTGAAAAAAATCAGGCCTGTACGGGATTCGAACCACTGACCTCTGCGATACTAGTGCAGCGCTCTACCAATTGAGCTAACAAGCCAACTGGGAGCAGGCCGTTAAGTTGATTCGTAATAAACCCGTGAAAGTGATAAATCAGATACAATGAAATATATGAAGTTCATATATTTTGAACTGCGGTATTAGATACGTATGATGCACGATCCTCGCAGTAGATAGCGCTATTTAAGCAATAGCGAAAATCAGACCTGAAAAAAATCAGGCCTGTACGGGATTCGAACCACTGACCTCTGCGATACTAGTGCAGCGCTCTACCAATTGAGCTAACAAGCCAACTGGGAGCAGGCCGTTAAGTTGATTCGTAATAAACCCGTGAAAGTGATAAATCAGATACAATGAAATATATGAAGTTCATATATTTTGAACTGCGGTATTAGATACGTATGATGCACGATCCTCGCAGTAGATAGCGCCATTTAAGCAATAGCGAAAATCAGACCTGAAAAAACTCAGGCCTGTACGGGATTCGAACCACTGACCTCTGCGATACTAGTGCAGCGCTCTTGGTTAAAAAGAAAAA